AAGTAAATATATGTAGTTAAAATCATGTTTGAATGCATAATTGTCATATGAAATTAAGTAAATATATGTAGTTAAAATCATGTTTGAATGCATAATTGTCATATGAAATTAAGTAAATATATGTAGTTAAAATCATGTTTGAATTACATTAATATTTTGAAATATGAAAGGTCGGAATCTGCAAGTGTTAGATCATCAATTTATAATTTTGAAAGTGAGGTGTAGAAAGGATTGAATGATTTTAAAAGTACTTTTTAGAATAAATTAATAGTTGTATTTGGGATAAATTCAGTGTCCTTCTAATTTATATACAATATGAAATACAAGTAATTAACTTATTACCTAAGGCTCGGCATGGCCTTGTAGTTATGACACTCTATTCGCAAGCTGTGGGTCGCGGGATCTAAACCTGTCGCCGATTATCTTCGCTCTTCCAGTTATGCGGGCTTTGCAATTTGACGGTTAATCCCGATATTTGTCGGTAAACAATAATCCAAGAGTTGGCGGTGGGTGTTGTTAATTAGCTGCCTATCGCTTCAAAATTGTGGACGGCTAGCGTAGATAGTTTTTAGTAGCTTTGTGTGAAATTCAACAAAAACAAACAAACTAAATATTATGTAAATAATAATACTAAGCATTATGTAAGTGTATATTGATGAAGTGATTTGTTTGCAGAATTTGATTTAGTGGTCCGTCTGAAATAAATAACTTGATCCCACTAAATACTACTGATGGTCCTTATCTATATAGATTAAGTTGCTAATTCGAAGGTTAAAATACATATATAAAGGAAAAATTAAGAAGTTGTAAGACTCTTCAGGAAAACAAGGTTAATGAGTCAATACCAACCTACATAAAGTTAAGGTTAATGAGCTTATACGAACCCAAAGAAAATAACTAATAAGTTAGTATTCTATATGAGACATGGTTAATAATCTAATAAGATACTATATAAAAGCAATGTCAAAAAACTATAAAAATTTAAATAAAAATAAGGTTAATAAGTTATAAAAATGTACATAAAAATAATGTTAATAAGCTATACAAATTTACATAAATAAAGTTAATAAGCTATAAAAATGTACATAAAAGAGAATTAATAAGCCATAAATATGCATATAAAAGAGAATTAATAAGTTATTGAAATTTACATAAACACAATGTTAATAATTTATGAAAATTAATGTGAAAACAAGGTTAATAAGCTATAAAAATACTCGTATAAACGAGAGTAACAAATTATAAAATTTCCATGAATACAAGATTAATAAGTTAATGTGATTCTGGATAAAAAGTTATTAATATGTGAATAAAAACTGTATATAAAAACAACGTTAATGAACCAAAACGAATCCACATAAAAATAAGGCAGGTAAGCTAATATTACTCTACATAAAACAGAAACTAATTTAAACGTAAATGGTGGACAAGCTACATGGAATATACTCCAAAAACAGAGAATCTAACAAGAATCAAAGACATAATAAATATAAGTTAACGAGAATTTTCATATAGTAAAGGTGGGGAAGTTAATTAAGATACTAAACATTGATTCATTAGTCAATCAATATGCTTTCATATATATGAAAAATGGAGAAACTAATACAAATCTAATTGAATAAAACGTTAAGACGCTTATCAGAATTACCATAAAAATATAGTAGAGAAGCTTTGTGGAAATAGAAACGACGCTGAAAAAGAAACTAAATGCAAGAATGGTTATGGATGAGAGGCGAAAGTAAATACGACATAAACATCTGAACACCTATTGTATCATAAAGCTATACAAATAGTATGAAAAATCAGTCAAGTGGTCGTAGAAAATGTTGTATACGAAGTATGCAAAAAAATAGGAATTCTGGTATTCGAAAAACATGTACACGCACGTACGCAGGGGGGTGGGGGTTCGAGAATTTTCGGCCGAACCCCCTATTTTTGTGGTGTAAAAAAGAATTATGCTTATATAGTTATATACATAGTTTTCTACATAGTCCAGAATTAATCTCATGGTACCTATTTTTTACAAATATCCTGGAAGATATATCCCTGAAGCATTAGCATGCTATGCATGCTGATAGAGCTTTGCACAGTATGTGTTGGCTTTTGATCTCACAAATTTCAAACATTCTGGGTACGGGCCTGGTTTATTGTAGAACACGTATTGAAAACAACAGTAATAACAGGACGAGTGCAATAAAGATTTTGGAAGAGAAATATTAGTAGAAAAATCATATAAAGAATTTGGTAGGAAGGAAACTGGTATAAATACTATAACATAGGATGATGATATTGAACACCACTATGTAAAATAACAGAGGAAACTATGTACGTTTTATATTAAAAAACATAGAAGAACAAATCTAGGAAGAATAAACTATATGAAAGAAAAGAAGAGCGGTTAAGCGGAAACATGAACTTGGAAGAAAATATATATAAAAAACAAATCTGAAAACATAATTGTAGTAAGAAACATGATGCAAAACTTGTTAAATTGATAGATAACGTGGTGTAGAAAACAATAATCAAGCCCCCCAGTGGCACAGCGGTATGTCTGCGGACTTACAACGCTAGAAACCGGGTTTCGATACCCGTGGTGGGCAGAGCACAGATAGCCCTTGTGTAGCTTTGTGCTTAACTTCAAACAAACAATAATCAAATACTGGAAAATATCGTATGAAGCATTTAGAAGAACAGTGGTAGCAAAAACAGAAGCAGTAGAAATCGGTGTATAAAGATCAGCGATAACATGAAATGTGATTTAAGAACAGTGGCAGTAGAAATCGCTGTATAAAAAACAACGATAACGTGAAATGTGATTTAAGAACAGTGGCAGTAGAAATCGCTGTATAAAAAACAACGATAACGTGAAATGTGATTTAAGAACTGTGGCAGTAGAAATCGGTGTATAAATAACAAGGATAACATGAAATGTGATTTAATATCAGTGGCAGAAGAAATCGATGTATAAAGAACAACAATAACATGAAATGATATTTAAGAACAGTGGCAGTAGAAATCGGTGTATAAATAACAAGGATAACATGAAATGTGAGTCAAGAACGGTAGCAGTAGAAATTAGTGTATAAAGAACAAAGACAACATGAAATGTGATTTAAGAACAGTGGCAGTAAAATTAGTGTGCAAATAAGAATGATAACATGATATGTGATTTAAGAACAGTGGCAGTAGAAATCGGTGTATAAATAACAATGATAACATGAAATGTAATTTAAGAATAGTGGCAGTAGAAATCGGTGTATAAAGAACAAGGATAACATGAAATGTGATTTAAGAACAGTGACAGTAGAAATCTTTGTATAAAGAACAACGATAACATGAAATGTGATTTAAGAACGGTAGCAGTAGAAATTATGGTACAAAAAATAAGGATAACATGAAATGTGATTTAAGAATGGAAACAGTAGACATTAGTGTATAAATAACAACGATAACATGAAATGTGATTTAAGAACAGTGGCAGTAAAAATTAGTTTGGAAATAACAATGATAACATGAAATGTGATTTAAGAATTGTGGCAGTAGAAATCAGTGTATAATAAACAACGATAACATGAAATGTGATTTAAGAACGGTAGCAGTAGAAATAAGTGTATAAACAACAAGGAAAACATGAAACGTGATTTAAGAACGGTAGCAGTGAAAATTAGTGTGTAAATAACAATGATAACATGAAATGTGATTTAAGAACAGTGGCAGTAGATATCGATGTATACATAACAATGATAACAGGAAATGTGATTTAAGAACAGTGACAGTAGAAATCTTTGTATAAAGAACAACGATAACATGAAATGTGATTTAAAAACAGTGGCAGCAGAAATCGGTGTGTGAAGAACAACAATAACATGAAATGTGATTTAAGATCGGTAGCAGTAGAAATCGGTGTATAAAGTACAACGATAACATGAAATGTGATTTAAGAACAGTGGCAGTAGAAATTGGTGTATAAATAACAAGGAAAACATAAAACGTGATTTAAGAACGGTAGCAGTAAAATTTGGTGTATAAAGAACAGCGATAATATAAAATGTGATTTAAGAACGGTAGCAGTAAAAATTAGTTTGGAAAGAACAAAGATAACATGAAATGTGATTTAAGAACAGTGGCAGTAAAAATCGGTGTATAAATAACAATAATAACATGAAATGTGATTTAAGAATAGTGGCAGTAGAAATCGGTGTATAAAGAACAACGATAATATGAAATGTGATTTAAGAACGGTAGCAGTAGAAATAAGTGTATAAACAACAAGGAAAACGTGAAACGTGATTTATTAACGGTAGCAGTTAAAATTAGTGTGTAAATAACCATGATAACATGATATGTGATTTAAGAACAGTGGTAGTAAAAATTAGTTTGTAAATAAGAATGATAACATGAAATGTGATTTAATATCAGTGGCAGTAGAAATCGGTGTATACATAACAATGATAACATGAAATGTGATTTACGAACAGTGGCAGTAGAAATTTGTTTATAAAGATCAACGATGACATGAAATGTGATTTAAGAACGGTAACAGATGAAATTAATGTATAAATAACAATGATAACATTAAATGTGATTTAAGAACAGTGGCAGTAGAAATCGGTGTATAAAGAACAACAATAACATGAAATGTGATTTAAGAACAGTGGCAGTAGAAATCGGTGTATACATAACAATGATAACATGAAATGTGATTTAAGAACAGTGGCAGTAGAAATCTTTGTATAAAGAACAACGATAACATGAAATGTGATTTAAGAACAGTGGCAGTAAAGATTAGTGTGTAAATAACAACGATAACATGAAATGTGATTTAAGAACAGTGGCAGTAGAAATCGGTGTATAAAGAACAACAATAACATGAAATGTGATTTAAGAACAGTGGCAGTAGAAATCGGTGTATACATAACAATGATAACATGAAATGTGATTTAAGAACAGTGATAGCAAGAGGCGTGGTATAGATCTGTGGTTCCCAAACTTTAGCCCGCAGACCAAACATTGCCACGTAATCCCCCAAAGTAGACGTGGAGAAAATCGAAAAGTCTGTAAAAAAAGAGAATGAAGAGGCAGAGCAAGATGCTCTTATGGAAATGTGTGATGAAGAGAGTGTTTCGTTAGAATATTTGGACTTTGAGATTGAAGATGTACTAGAAAAAACTAGAAACATGTTTATTTTCACTAATTATGTATTGAAACTGATTGATATCAGAATCTTTCCTTTGATTTTCTGGGAAGTCGGGAGGTAGCCGAACGTTTACGCCTATTTCTCCGCGACCAGAAAGAATTTTTAAATTCTGAAAGATTCTCTCACCTTTTTAGGCCATTTCGCA